CACACACACACACACACACACACACACACACACACACACACACACACACATTCAGATCCTTAAGCAGGCTTTTCTTTCTATCCTTAGCTCTGTCCCCTCCCGTCTTCTGCCTGTCCATCCCCCTCTCCCACTTATACCTGATTACCGGCTGCCATTTTACCTTGAGAGCCTCAGACTTACAGCTTTCGTGTTACGTCTCAGAGTACGACTCAGGCTCAGACTTGAACATGAAGAGATTCACACAAGTGGTGCAGACTCTGGTCTGACTCGACCGCTCCATCAACGCATTTTCTCTGAACTTTTCCACGCCACTTTTGGACCATGTTTCCTGGTTGCGTGAGTAGCCCCTTTATCTTAGAATGATTTTATTAACAGGCTGTTGGAACGGTTTAGTTTTTGAGCTTTAAAAGGATGCTTCAGATGATAAAAAAATAAAGAAAAATGGAAAGGCAAAATGTGAATGCCTTACTGGTAAATATTGATAAAGTTGCTATTATCTCTTAATAATGGTCTATTGTTATTAAATTGGGGGTAAATTACATCAAACCTCCATTTTAAATTATGCTTTTGTCGATGCTAAATGAGCCACAACCATCGATTTTAGAGGAATGAGATACAATACTCCCCATAAAACTAGCAACAGTGTTTGGAAAAATTATGGTTCAAATGAATTTTTATTGGTTAATAATCAGCTCAGCAGCTAATAATGTATTTTTGTGTTAAATAGCAAAATTACTTTTCTATCCATCCATCCATCCATCCATCCATCCATCCATCCATCTATCCATCTATCATCCATCCATCCATCCATCCATCATTTATCCATCCATCTATCATCCATCCATCCATTATTTATCCTTTCATCCATCCATCCATCCATCCATCCATCATCCATCCATCCATTATTTATCCTTCCATCTATCATCCATCCATCCATCCATCCATCCATCCATCATTTATCCATCCATCATCCATCCATCCATTCATCCATCCATGTATTATTTAACCATCCATCCATCCATCCATCCGTCCATTTATCCATCCATCCATGGCCATGCTTGGTTAGGAATGGTTCACCTTACCTTGATCTTTTGGGTCAATAACTAACAAATCTGTATTTTTCCAACATTTTTTAGATTAAAAGTGATAAGATAAATCAATRATAATCTTTGTTACTACTTTCAGTCTGTCACTTTTGTTCCCTGTATCTTTGCTAGTTTCTCGTTGGAGTGAAAATGTTTATGACTTGAAAAGAAAAGCAATTTTGTGGCATCTACACATTAAGTAAAGAAGAAAATGAGCGTATCAAGTTTAAAGCTAATCAGAACCACTTTTAACGGCTTGTTGAGATGTTGAATCATRGCTAAATACCAGGTTAAGCTGTTCCCTTACACTGAAATCAACACAAAGCTAAAGAGGGATTAAGAGTCATGGTGTCACATTGAGCTCGTCTGCAGTATARAGAGGTAATTTGGTCCCGATGTTAACGCCTCAAGGGGCTGGAAATCCTGATAATCCTGCTGATAATGTTCACCTTTTAACATAATTAATTAAACGTTATAATTATYGCGCCCACTGTTAAAAAGGACATGAAATGAAGTCAGTGAGGTTCAGCATATTTTAWATTTGTAATGTAAAACTGAGAAAGTTTCTGAAGAAAAGTATAACTGTGAGGACCAGTGGAATCTGTTCTGACCCTCCTGCTGCCTTTGGGTTGAAATGACCCAGGAGACCTGATTGAGGCCTCTATTGTCATTTTGGGCCAAGGGCAGCAGTAGATTGCACAATCTGGTTTATTATTTCTGTTCAGACTCTTCGTCTTTTAAAAAATAGGATTTCTTTATATGTTCTTCTGTACTAAACRTAACAGCTCTGTCTTTAAACACTCATATTATTACATATATGCAGCTTAATTAGGTGTTGCCACTTTGAAATATATCAATTTCATCTTGAGACCTTGTAATTCAGCAGTAAAGATGTAATTTAAWTAACAGTGAATGTAGAGTWTGTGCTCATTCAGTTATTTACTATCAGGATAATAAAGCATTAATCTGGCTGTCCATGAATTTGAAGAGTTAAAACAGATACAAAATGTTTTCTCCTTGTTTGACTCTGAGCCGTGTCAGGACATCCTGTTAACGTCCCGAATCCTYATTTAAATATCCTGATTAGGACTGTGTGACTGTGTGAGAGTGATTACAAGGTATAAAGACCTGAAGAYGAGCCAGCGCCTCGAAGCGTTGGTGTTTTGAGGCATCCGTTTGTTGACCTTTTAAAATCAGGGCTGCATGTTTTCACTCCGCAGGTGCACGTGAGATCAGAGCATGCAATCGGTCCAGACGGGGACGTGGGACCCCCGACCCCCGTCTAAAGATGCCACGCCCCCTGTCTTCGATTCRCGCGGCTCCCGTGTGACCTCGGCCGCCCCGGCCAAACGGATCACCTTCTACAGAAGCGGCGACAGCCAGTTCGGTGGGGTCAGGATGGCCATCCACAAGCGCAGCTTTAAATGTTTCGACACCCTGCTGGACGACCTTTCTCAAAAGGTTAGCAGAACGAGTCAGACGCGGAGAAATCCTTTGAAGCTCGCTTTTCAGATGTGCGTTTGCTGCACCTGTAACTCTACATTGTTGGGTGAATTATGTCTTCTTCTTTTTTTATGGAATATATGGRGGGAAATAGCTGACTTAATCCAAGAGCGTATATTTTCAATTTGAGAGCAGGACAAGTCTGCTCTGTAGCATTTTTTTGTAAAAATGGCACCACACAAGCATGCATACAGTGACTATATTTTTTACAGGTCCCACTGCCGTTTGGTGTGCGGACTGTGACCACGCCCCGAGGCACACACACCATCAAACACCTGGAGCAGCTCCAAGACGGTGGCTGCTACCTCTGCTCCGACCGCCGTCAAACTAAGCCCATTGACATGGAGCTGGCCAGCAAACGCCAAGGAACCTGGTACCATCACAGCCGGAGGCCCCAGCGGCCCGAGAGCTCCTCTGCGATGGCCCCTGGCCATTTGCACTTGCTGCACAGGCAGCGCCGGATCCTGCTGGTGAGGAACAGCGAGCCGGGAGTGAGGAGGAGCATCGTGCTGAGCAGGAGGTCAACTAGAAGCCTGAAATCTTTTCTCGATGAAGCATCAGAGGTGATGCAGTTTCACGTCCGCAAACTCTACACCGTAGAAGGACGCAAGGTGTTACTCTTTTGTTTTATTTAAATGTGTAGCGCAAAGAGAATTTTGATAAAGGCTCATGCCGTGTGCGTTTCCTTCTAGATCGACAGCGTTCAGAGCTTGATGACTTGTCCTGCCGTGCTGGTGTGTGTTGGCCGCGAAAGCTTCAGCCCGGCGCTCCTTAATTTCATCAGAAAAACCTCAGAGGAAAAACTGCCCGGCCTGGGCAGCAAGTCTCCTGGTCTGGGTCCACGGATTCCTGGAAACGGGGCCCGATCTCCTTCCACCCAAGGAGTGAGGTCTCCTTCTCGCAGAGCTCAGTCCAGAGCCAGCGAATCCGATGAAACGCAGAAAAACAGTAAGTTGTGTGGGTAAAATTTCAACAAGAACATTTACACTAAGAGACTGATTTCTCAAAGGTTTGTGCCTGTTAAAAGCTATGAAAGCTGATCTACTAACTGTGTGCACCAAGAGTTGCTTTAATGAGTAAAATACCAGCAGCAATCCATTTAGCGTGTTAACTTACATGAATATGCAGAATATATGATAATTATCAGAATGCGCAAAATACTGACATGAGGATATGCAGACTCAATCATTTATCGCTCACAGTGTRATTAACAAACTTGAAACTGGTTGCCGTTGTTGTTTTTGCTTCTAAATTTAGAGCGTTTGAAAGGCAGGTGCAAACTGGCTGCATAGCTTCAGATGCATTATCCGCTCCCCTCTGGCCTAGGAGACAGTAATAAGAAATTTCTTTGAAGTGACATCCATGGCTGTGACTGAAGTTTTTAATCATTCTCCAAACACAGCCTGCATTACAATGACTGCACACTGACAATATATACAAACAATGTGACTGTGTTTCTCTTCTAGAGAGTGAAAATGAGAGAGCGTATCTCTGCACCTMTCACTTAAACATTCATCTCTCGGCTGGACTGCCACCGGGTGCAGTGTGCGCTGTGATGTGTGTTCTGGTTGACAAATTATTAAAACTTCTTTTAATTTGATGTTAAAGTATTACATTAGATTTTTTWAAAAGTGTGTTGCGAAAACGTTAACAAAAATTAAACTAAGAAAATACGTTTTTTTTTTTTGGTCAAGTCCAGAAAGAGCTACTCATGCGGCTCCTATCATATGGAGACACTGCAACACTGTCTTTTCTCACATCTGGATCAGTTGCCTYCTTCTCCACAGCCAGTAGCACACACTAAATCATTATTTCAGTAGGGAGGTCTGCACCACTCTTGCATTTATTATCATGTACATATGCAGTCTTCGTAAATTACGTGCAACATACCCAGTAATAGCATGGCCATCTTTTAGTTTGCGTATACAATTTAGTGCTCGCTCTTCAGCCTCAAAGTCAGCAGTTATCTCAAAAAGTGATCTTGTGTATTCTTTTTTTTTCTTTTCAGATAACTTTGGTTTGGAAACCAAGAAGAGCATTATCCACCCTCGCTCGGATTCCTCCACTCGCTCCACTCGTTTCTCTATGTCTTCTGAAAAGTCCTATGGCGTTAGCTCTCAAGCGAGACCAGCCATATTGAATGATGACATCGAAAAGCGTGTCTTAGTTAATAAAGACGGAAGTCTATCAGTAGAGATGAGGGTGCGTTTTCGCCTCCAGAATGATGAATCCATACAGTGGTCAACACAAATTAAAAAATCACCCTCCCTGATGAATGACTGTTGCCCCCTGAGCCAAACACAAACACATTACCTGCACCAGAGTCAATCAGAAAGCTGTTCGGACCCCGACTCTGCCTCATATGATGGTGTGGATTATTCTAAATGTTCACTGGCAGAAAAKCACTGTCCCTGTTGCTACCAGAGACATAACAATCAATTCGACTTGTGGGAAAACTTGACCAACAAGCACCGTCCTGTCCCGCCCACGCATACGTCCAACCATACCTCAATGAGACAAGCACGCTCCTCGAGCTCATCCTCATCGTGCAATTCGAGAAGGATGGTTCGGTGCAGAGCGCGGCTCCCCGGGTCTCCCGGTGGCTCAGAGCAGAGCCAATTTGTCCAGAAAGAGATGTCTGTGACGGAGCAGGTGGAGCACAGTATAGAGGTGGATCGAGATGGGGACACTCAGGTGGAGGTCTGCACAGTTAGTCGGTGCTGCAGCAGGTCTGAAGTGGTCACCATGGATGCTGATCTTCTACCACCAAACAGAAAGTTGGTTGAGGGTGAGCTGACGATGGGGCAAGAAGAAAACCGCCCTCTGTCTGCAATTAGCAGCTCCTCGCGTGTTCTTCAGTCACTGAAAGAGGACCAAGATGACGAGGACGATCTACCACCCAGTGCTTCTCAGTGCTCCAACAGAACTGAACCAATCCCTGCAGCTCACTTAGGTAAACAGCCAACTAGCAACGTCTCAGCCAATTCGGCCCACTCTGTCAAACACAAGAGCCAAAAGGAGAACAATGAAACAGACAGCAGGGTGCCGTTTGTGGCCTCCACGTGCCACTGTGGAGCAGCGACCCCGCACTCAGCAGCTGACACAGGTGAGCCCGATCGAGTGCCTAGCTCCAGGTCCAACATTAGCAAACCCAGATCAGAAGGAGAAGGGGCAGCTGATGTTGAGAGTGAAGACACAAACAGAGCTGCTGGTGGATTATCTCGTCACACAGGACGATCAGTGAGCACTCCAAAGTCATGGATGTCTGACGTGTGTCCAAACTGTGGAGGCTGGAAATGTGAGACTAACTCTCCACACCCTGTGTTTCTTTTCTCCAACAAGGAGAATGAAAATAGCTGCTGTGATGATGTGGCTTCAGTGTGCTCAGAAAAGATCGGCCCTACCATCAACGGTTCAATCTCTGCTGTACTGAACACCTTGGAAAGGAGAGCACCAAGTGTCACGTCAACAGCTTCCAATCCAAACTCAAAGGGGAAAAATGAAAGCAGGGCTCCAAGTTCCACCTCAGCTACAAGCCTCAGGTCAAACATGTCACACAAGTCTAATTGTAATGGTGTTATAGCTGAAAATGGCAACAAAAGAACCCCCAGTGCCATGTCAGCTCAATTGAACCTGTCTGCTATGTCTAGAAAGTCCAAATGCACAGCTGAAGCTGGGAAGGAAAGAATAGCCAGCTCGTTGTCAGACAAATCCATTCCTTCAGACAAGTTTCCAAAGACAAACTGTCACTTATGTACCGAAGAAGCTGTGTTATCAGACAAATTGGCCTCAGAAGAAGGTGACGAAGAAGCACGAGCTCCCAGTTTGCTCTCTGTTCGGTCAAATGCTTCTGCCAAGTCTGGAAAAGCTGAAAGTATTCTATCGAAAAAATCAACAAAATCCAGTGTGTCAGCAAAGTCTGGAACACCTGACAAGTGTAATCACAATCAGAATGCTGAAGCAGTATCAGACAAACCCACTGAAGGGGCAACGGTAGAGGAAAGGTCAGCAAGCGTAGTGTCAGCAAAGTCTAATACATCCCGTAAATCCACGAAAACTTCAGAAAGACCTTGTTCTTCCAGATCCCCAAGTGCTACGTCAGGGAGATCTTCTGCCAAGTCCCTCAAGTCAAACCAGACAAAAACGTCTCTACATCACCATGAAGCCAACATTACAATGTCCGAGATGAATGGAGACGAGACGGGAAACAGAAAAGACCTAGAATGTGAACCTTCTTTGAAGTCTGGTGCTTCTCACAAGTCAAACTCAACCGGGAATCTCACAAGTCCACATATTGCCATCATTAAAACACCAGGAAGTCCTGATGAAGAGGGCACAGACACAAAAGGACAAGCTTCAAATTTATTGCAAGACTCAAATAATAAAATGGCCGATATCGCTGTTACTGAGACCAACAGTGACTCTCATGGCCAMACACTCTCACCAAGAAGACGACCATCATCCCGAACCCATTCGCCCAAAGCTGCTTCCCCCAAACAATCTCAGTCCCAGCAGTTGCTACCAAAACCYGAGGTTGGAGAACAGAGACTTGGCAGATCCAGATGTTGCTGTGGAGCAGCATCAGCTCCTGAAAAGGAAGAAAAAGGAGAGGATGAGGAAGAGGGGAAGTATGATGGGGCTTCTGAAAGAGCCTCTAGCATCTTGTCATCTTTATCAAAAAGACAAAGGAAAGCATCAGGAGGCACAGAGGCACCTACAAGTCATAACTCATCAGGATCCATCTCTCTTGGGCTACAGGAAGACCAAGAAATAGAYGGTTCAGACAGCGGTAAATCTGGTGTTTCTTTTCTCAAGAGCCCGGAGAAATCCTCTGCCAAAGAAGATCCAAAGAGATCAGGGTCCACCGTGTCTGACGGTAACAAAGAAATCATTCCAGCCCATCTTCTGGCAGATGATATTCCTACTATTAAAACACCTAAAGGAGGTGACAATGMGGATGATGGGAGTGGAGAACAAACTACAGAAAGAGCAGCAAGTGCAAGTACGGTGAAAAGCAAGAGGTCTTGTAAATCCTGTTGTAACTGCAGCATCAAAGAAGCAGATCAAATGCTTGATGGTAAGGAYGAGGAAAGAAAAAGTGTGAAATCAACATCAACAACAAATGCCAGCAAAACGGATACGCTGGGCAAAATATCGGGAAATGCTACCATTCATAGAAAACCCCATTCGAGGGCTAAGGTTAAAAATGCCGTGAAAGATAATGCAAATACTGACASTGAAAACCGAGACACCGAGACCAACAAGAAGGAAGGTATCACACAAAACGAGGCACAGAGTACATGCTCTCACATTTCCCTCAGACCCACGTCAACGGCTTCAGCTCAGCAACGTACAGCAACTCACGAATCAGTCAAATCATGTTTCAGTCCAGACAAAAGTCACAAGACTAAGTCCCAGAGAGGAAGCGAGGGCGGCAGTCCTTGTCCCGTACACAACCCCAGACCAAGCAGTAAAACCAAAGCAGGAAGTGAAAGTTCTGTGTCTGCTGAGAGGAGGGAAACTACTCCTGCTGCATGCCAGCACAGCAAACATTCAAAATCCAGTGACAGGCCTCGAAGTGAGAAAAGTGAGAGGTCTCATAAAAGCAGGAATCGGAAGGATCAGGAGGATGCAGTGGAGCTTACACTCGAATACCTACCCAACAAGTCCCCTAATGAGGTTGTTAGCGATTGGCTGCAGAGCATTCCCACCAAAGGCGAAATGCTGCCTTTTGACCATGAGTTAAACGAGGAAGACGAGACGACGAAGCAGATGCTTGAAACACCTGGGGAAGAGATAGGAGCAACCGAGGAGAGCCCTAATGAGGAGCAAGAGGACAATGATGACGACGCTGGACAGCAAGATGTAGACAAAGACCGCAAAGTTGATTGTGACGCCGAAAACCCAACKTTGGATGATTCGACAAGGACTTCATCTCACTCCAAGAACTGGCAATATTCTGCAACTGTGATGAAAGTTCTCTTAAGCTCTTCTCTAGGACGATGCAGAAGCATGCCTGAGGTAAGATGTTGTGTTTTAAAATTGTGTTGGGATTTACAGAGCCTAAGAAGCAAGTTACTGGTAGCATTTGGACCACAGCATTCTAAAACRCTGAACTTACGAGCTCGTTATGTTGTACCTTACAGACATTTTATCTGGTTCCATTGATTCTGCAGCTAGAAATGCTGGTGTGACATGTTTGTCAAAAGGTGTTCAGTAAARCAAAACATCTGCTCATTTCCAGATTTAGCAACACACTTAGACCAATAAAGTGGTTTCAGCCAACCCTAAACTCTAAGAGATCATTGATTCATTAGGTTAAATATTTAAAATCAGTCTTTAGAGAGTATAAAAATGTCTTCATTTTATTAAATATAAGAATAATGAATATAAAATCATCTGTATCTTTGCTGTCTTGTCTAGGTATCCCCAGTTTACGGTCGTAGACTGAGTACATCAGCCAGGGGGCTTCTGGACTGCTTGGCTCAGCTCCAGCTTATTGAACCCTCCATGAGCTGCGAAAGTCATCAACCAAAAGAACGTAAACAGCAGTACGAAGAGGTCATGGCCATCCTTCAGTCACTCTGGCTCCATGAACCAAGGGACTTTGAGGTCGGGGAGACCAAGGACAGTAGAGTTTCAAAGCAGGTGACCCCACCAAGGTCCTCATCTGGGGTGGGCATGAGTAGTGGGTCAGACGGATCAGGAAAAGGAAATGGAAACCAAAGAGAAGATGGAATGTGCACTAACAAGAAAGAGGCTCCAGAAAAAGAGGACAGAAATGGAAACGGCAGCGATAAGGACACTGAAATGGACCATGAGGAGACATTTAAAGCAGACACAACAAGAAAGAGTGAAGACCAAAATATGGTTCCTCAAAGTCAAGAGAGTCGAAAGACCACTGAAAACACCTCCTCGTCAGAGAAGAACTCTGCCAACGACAGCTTCAGATACCCTACAGACAACGAAAGAGAAGCTCAGGAAGATGTCCACTCAAGCGTCCCGCGAGCGCCCTTGTCCAAAAGACTCTCCCAGGACCCCGATCCAGTCTGGGTCCTTCAACTCCTGCAGAAGCTAGAGAAACAGTTCATGAGCCACTACATCCAGGCCATGGCGGAGTTCAAAGTCCGCTGGGACCTGGACGATAGCCTCGTCCTGGACGCCATGATCGCCGAGCTGAGGGACGAGGTGAGCCGGCGCATCCAGAGCAGCATCCAGCGAGAGATGAAGAAAATTCAGAGTCGAGCTGGGAAAGGGGGCAAGTGGCCTCGGCCACCGCAGTTGGCCAGCATCTCCAGGGACTCCACCATGACGGAGAAGAGGCGTCGAATAATGAAGGTAAAGAACATTTTTACTCCTAACCAAAAGTTTGAAATGCGTGACGCTCACAATGACTTCTGTTCCAGGTTATGAAGAACCAGTCGGTAAAAACTGCAGACTCTGTCAGTGACGAGGACATGACAGGGAGCGATCAGCGAAGTGACGATGAGTACTGCCCCTGTGACGCTTGCGTTCGCAAGAAAATGGCCGCCCGGCCTCTCAAAAAGAACCCGCTGGCGGCTGAATGCCCCGTTATGATGGAGTTTGATCTTCGCAAGATCCTGCAGCTTAAAAAGAGCCCAGCACCCTCAACCATGGCAGCACCGCAACACGCAGAGGAGGAAGACGAAGAAGCAAGGAATTTAGAAATGGTTGAGGAAGAAGAGGAGGAGGAAACCAAGGTGCATACAAAAACCGACGCTGTTTTAGAGGAGACAATTCTAGAAGGAGATGAGGAGGTACTGCRGGAGAAAAACAAGAGCAAGGAACAAAACAGCGTGGAAGCTGAGGAGCAGGATGAAGGAGAAACAAKCGAACAAGATGAGACATCTGAAAATGAAGAGGAAGAGGAGGAAGAGGGGTGCACCTGTCCATCTACTAAAGATGAAGATGAGAGCAGCAGAGAAGAAGAAACAAGCAACTGCACAGATAAGTCAGGAGAGGAGACAGGGGAGGAAGAGGRGGAGAGTGACAAAGAGACRGTGAAGGAGGGAACCGCTGGGAAGGAMGAACAGACGCTGGTGGAGGAGGTTATGGAGGGAAACATCAGCACAGAGGCGGAGGATGAAGATGATGAGGATGATGGAACGGAAGACGAAGAGTCACACGACCAAGAGACAGGGAGCGAGAGCAAGGAGCAAGATGAAGATGCGTCTGAGGAGGAGAGAGTCTCACCACAGGTAAAGACCAAGTGTYTGGTCAGAAAAGTTCTTTCATTGAAACTGAAAACGGATGTTTAAAAGTAAAAAYCTGTTACTCAACTTCAACTCTCTTAACGTAGATGTTCTCTGAAGTTAAATTTGTCTCAAAAGATAAACACAGGCAATAACATATCAGATCACAATTTCTTTTACAATCAAATTGTGATGTTATCACCRTATTGGCTTTATATTATTGGTCTTTTGCTATTTTCTAACCTACTGAAGTATTTAGGTCTGCAAAACATCTGAGAACATAGTTTTGCCAAAAAGTACAAYGGACTCCAGTGATGTCCAATCCTTGTCCTTGAGGGCCACTATGCTGCTCATTTGAATGTATCTCTGCTTCRACACACCTGGTTTGAATAAATGTGTGACTAAACAGGCTTCTGTACAACTKCAAGACCTGCTGAAGWGCAGAGAAACGACTAAAACATGCAGGGTAGTGGTCTTTGAAGACCAGGATTTGGCRCTGCTGGTTTAGACATCTTCTCATAGCCTTCTTGAACTGAAAACATGAACCAGAAAATGGATTTGAGACATACAATTAAGGTTTTATTCACTTTTGTTACCATCTGATCATTAAGTTAAACTCTAAAAGCTGACCTTGCAAGCATTGGTTTTTCATTTATTAAATGAATCTGGGAGCACATTGAGCAACAGATTTAAAAATAACTCAGAAATCTTCATTTTTATGGTAGTTTCTACTTCTGTACCACTTGATGACACACCTGCAGTCAAAGCAAAGTTCCTGATCAAATTATAAATTGATCTGATGATCAGTGATTGTTTCAGAACAGAAAAAAATCAGGACTSTAATTTAAGAGTCCAGACTCAGGGGTTAAATCGGACTCACTTCAGCCTCGTGCTTCATTCTAAGCTTGTGGGAAAAACGATAATCTCACCATCCAATTAGACAGCCTGGAGAAACCTCTTTAGTTTAGCAGCAATGCGGAGCAAAATGCTGATGCAGCTACAGACAGAATTTACTTCCATAAAGCTCGATAAGTAATTGGACTTGTTTTTGTAAGAATCTAGAGGGCTCGACACACGGGCAGCGACAAACTACAGCGATTAACGGCTGTCATCGCAGCCAGGGTGAAACCCGACACACAGGACGTGATAGCGATCACAGCGTTGTGAATCGCGCTCTCAGGTCGCTTGTCTTCACAAAATTTGATTGGTTCTTGACTCTGAAGGGGGGTGTGCATTACGGACGTGTAAACTAAACAAATCTTGCGATGCTAATGATATTGAAAAACAAACACACATCAAGATACAGTTTTATGAGGAAAAACTTTTCTTAAACTTCACCCTGGTGCCAATAAATTCCCACAAAGCTTTTTAGTAATCACTTGGTGAAAGTGTTAGCTAACGGCAGTGTGTAGCATACTCTCCTCTCAGCCAATGAAACCCTCGCTGATTGGTTGTACGCTAAGCGACAGCGACAAAAGTTGAACATTTTTCAACTTTCATATGTCGCGTCGCAAGCTCACTTGTGCACGTCTACGTGTACGAGCGCGAATTTTCACATGCACTATTTTCGACGGTCGCTTAGCTGGAGGAGGGCAAGCGATTGTCGCCTCACCGCACAGGCTCCATAGGAAATGAATGGAGAGTGAGCGACGTCGCCTCCCGTGTGTCGAGCCCTTATAGCAGGAGTGTCCAGTCCTGGTCCTGGAGGGACCACCTTCCTGCATGTTTTAGATGTTCCTCTGCTCCAACACACCAGATTTGTTAAATCAACAATTGATGAGCAGGTTTCTGCAGAACATGAAAAAATTATTCAACCAATGAATCAGGTGAGTTGGAGCAGAAGGATCAGTAAAATCTGCAGGATAACGACCCTCCAGGACCAAGATTAGACAATTTCCCTGGTCTAAACTGACAAAATATTTTTTACATATAAAACTGTGTAAAATTTGTGCTGAAAAACTGTTGCAGCGTAAAAATCATACAGGTTCATGACTGCATGTGTAAGTTTTTATGTGTTTAATGTGTAGGAGTAATGATTTAGATGGAAGTCTGAGAGTTTAGATTTTTTATTTATTTAAACCKTTATTTAACCAGGTAGATCTCATTGAGATTAAAATTCTCTTTTTCAAGAGAGACYTGGCCAAGAATGGCAGCAGCACACATTGGCACCACATTGGTAGATGCTGCCAATGTGGTGTGTCTTCTGTACTCAGAGAGAAAACTGTAGCCATGAGAGACACTGGAGGTGAAAGAAGACAAAAGTACCCATGTTTTTATGTATAAACTATATAAGAAGTGTAAAGAGTATTGAAATGGGAAAAGTTTGACAAAAATTTTGAAATGTTTCAGCACCTCAAACGACAGAGTGCATGACATCACACTGCAGCTTCAGTATTTAGTGGTAAAATAAAAAAATATGACCTTAAACTGCAGCTGTGTGAGAACTACAATATTTTTGTAGTTTTTAGGAAACTTTGCCTAACCCTCACAATGTACTAATACCAACAGTCACAGTATTCCCAGGTGATTTATGAGTTTTTAAGATGCAGAAGAAAACACTGAACATGATGGAAACAGAATAAGAGAAAAAAAAAACAAGTTTGCATGAAATACAATGTACTTTTTCTTAAAAGAGTATTAATATAGTAGCACTAATACTAGCAGGAGTATTACTATTACTAGTTGGCTACTAGTATTACTACTAGTACTATACTTGTACTACCAGTACTAGTAATTCTATTACTTTTTTGTACAATTTGTTCTTTTATTATACTAGTACTTTTTATACTGGTACTAATAGTACTAATATTATATTTATACTAGTAACAGTAATACTTTAACTATACTATTTCTAGTTCTACTAGTACTATTACCACATATACTTGTCCTATTATGAGTATTAGTATTACTACTTTTAGTACCTCTCATATTCTTATTTGTACTTGTACTATTGCCATAAGAGTATAAGCTTTAGACTTACCTTATTAAACTTGTACTCTACTATATTACTACCAATACTACTAGTAATTGTGCTATTAATAACTTTTATGTATTAGTGTTATACTAGTACATTAATATTTGTTCTTGAGGTACTGCATTCTACTAGTACTAGCAATAGCAGTACTATTAACATAGCAGTATTTGTACTAGTATTCCTATTACTGTTGTACATTAGATTGTAGTTGGGTACCTTTAGTACTAGTTCTAGTTTAGCAATAACACTCTTAGTATTTATTAGTACCAGTACTAATACTAGTAGTACTACCAGTCCTAGTGCTTCCTCCAGTTAAGCTTGGCTGAAGTCTGAATCTGTAAACTCTGGTTTGGGACTGGAGCTCATTTATTTAAAACTAAATTGTTAAAACGCTGAAAGAACTGAGCTCCGTCCTCTGATCTCAAGACCTGGACCTGTTGATTGGACTGTTCAGAACTCCAAAACTGAAGTGGTCTGACACAGGGTAGTAGCACCCTGATGAACAGTTTCAGATCTGAACTAATGCAACAAAGTATTAGAACAAAAATAAAAATGGAGCTTCACCATTAAAACTAAAGACATTCTGACGCCTTGTCGCAGACTAGTTTGGCTATTTTATGACGGCTCACAGGTGATGTTTATCTTGTTTGACCTTCAGAGCCAGGCTGAGATCCCGGTTGGGACTGAAGGTGAAGAGGCCGACGTCGAGGACTCGGATGACAGCAAACCTGATAACARCACTGAAGAATCTGGACGCGAGGAGGCTGGAGGCTTGGGTGACGAGAAGGAGAATGACGGCGAAGAGAAYGAGGAAGACATCGTAGAGGAGTTCRAGTATGTAGAAAAGAGCGAGGAGGAGGAAGAGGCTAAAGCCAAAAACGAAGACGGGACTTTGCTGCATCAGTTCACCAGGACATCTGTGGAGTCCCAGCCTGGCTCAGTAGAAGACAGCGACGCAGATTTAACCTCAAATCTGGTGGATTCTACGAAAGCCATGAAAGGAGTTTCCAGGCGGTGACAGGAGCAGCCAATCATGAGCCAGGGCAAACTCAAGAAGGCAGACATCAATAACTGATAACTCTTAACGTGATTAGTTGAGTCTATCTTTCGAGTTGAAGACGGTCTTCAACACTCAAAGCACTTTACTTTTCCAGGACAGCTGTAAGAAGATTCAGTCATTATCWTTTCTATAGACGTGTCCCATGATTGTAGAAAGTTGAAACAAACACTACACTTTATTCAATCACATATTCTATATTTGTAATATGTATTTTATTCATATTTCTGAAATTACCTGTACGCATTAAGAAACATATTATTGTTATTCAYRTGTGACCTGTGTTGGCAAAATGCWTCACAAAGAGGAMGAGTTAATATTTTAAAAATTTTCATCTCAAAAACTTCYAAACAATCTGCAGTTTGTTGAAATTTGGCAGCAAGCTCGTTTTGTTTAGCTGGTTTAAACACTAGATTTTTTATTGGTCTGGRATGATGTCATCAGGAGTTCACAAGCTTCCTGATGACAATGAAACATTAAATGAAGGGAYTTCCCAGCAGAGAAGATGGTCAGTTTCAAAGGAAAATATACCTGAATATTATTAYTGTGTTCCACTTATCAGCTAACAGCTAATAGCAGAACAAATTTTTCATTTAGCACATTGGCATTTCACTAACCTTAAAACAGTTAGCAGATCAATTAGCTTMCAGTAAATTAGGTTTTGCCAACTTTAAGTCAGCTAACAGCTAACAAACTACCATTAATAGGTTTGTCAGTCCCACCAGTCAGTTGTCTTAGAGGTTAGTGATTAGCTATTAGTTTTAGCTTCCGTTCGTTTTTTTCTTTTCTTTTGTGAGTTAGCGTGAGCAAAGGTGTGTTTTGTTAGTTATATGAGTTAGCAAAGCTAACGTTTTGATTGTGCCCATCACTAGATGGCATTTTTATTAAGTTATTTTTATGTAAAAAATCTGTATTTTTACATTTTTGTCCCTGGAGCCTGAGAACATTCTGACTCATTTTGCCAGCACGGGTCACAAATTTTTTAAATGATAATTATCTGTTACCAGATTCTATAGCCAATGATAACATACTTCAAAAATCATTCTGTTGACTGTTTATGGTGTATTTTTGACAGAATCTGTACGTCACGGTTTATAAAGGTGATTAGGACCCAGGACACTAGAAGCTCAAGTTCAAAAAAGGRWTTWWTTWAWMAAAMMAAAAGGCTGACGTGAAAGCAAGAACTTCAAAAACTCAAGGAGACACAAAGGAGAATCAGACATGGCACTAAACAAACACAATGCCAGACTGAAYATGAAGTGGAAGCTAAAAGACTTACATGCGAGGATTGATGAAAGGAGTGAAGACATCTAGGTTAAATGACAACTGGCCACAGGTGAGAGTGGGCGGGGCAGGAGCTGAGGGGCTAAAATCTAAAACACTGGTGAAATAAGTCTAAAAACACCAAAAAAAAGATGAAAAGACAGATCCTGACACAGTTACTGTTGGGCTTGCCACATGAAAGAAGTGCTGTGTTTTCAGTGTTTGTTCAGTTTGTTCTGAACAGGTCACCTGCTTACATGTACCCTGCTGCTGCCAGCTGTTTGAATCTGCAGAACATCTGTGATGTAATGAGTACCTGAAAKAAGAGGACATTTTGGGAATCAGCCTCTGTTTTTTTCTTATGATACATTTGTGCAAAGTTATGATTGATACCTTGTTACTGTATTTATTAAATGTCCGTTATTAAAGTTTCAGAAAGGGCACAAAAAAACAATGACCCATTTAAAATCTAAAGTTCCATACACCCTCCTTTCCATCCATTCATCTTTCTAACCATTTATCCATCCACCCGTCCATCCATCCATTCATTCATCTGTCCACACATTCATCCAACCACCCATCCATTCATCTTTCTAACATCCATCCACCCACCCATCCATTCATTCATCTTTCTAACCATCCACCCATCCATCCACCCATCCATTCATTCATCTGTCCACACATTTATCCAACCACCCATCCATTCATCTTTCTAACCATCCATCCATCCATTTATCTTTCTAACCATCCATCCACCCATCCATCCACCCATCCATCCATTCATCTGTCCACACATTTATCCAACCACCCATCCATTCATCTTTCTAACATCCATCCATCCCGTTATCTTTCTAACCATCCATCCATCCATTTATCTTTCTAACCATCCATCCACCCACCCATCCATTCATTCATCTTTCTAACCATCCACCCATCCATCCACCCATCCATCCATTCATCTGTCCAACCATCCATCCAACCACCCATCCATTCATCTTTCTAACATCCATCCAT